TGCAAAGATAACGCGGCTTTCATTTGAAGAAGAACTCATTGTCATACGTGGAGGGGAGTTGTTGTAAAGGGAAGAGGTATGGGCAGTAGCAGAAGTGGCCCGCTCGCTATGATGGCCCACTCGCTATGCATGTACGTTAGTCGAAAGGGGCGAACTTCTAATGTTGGTTGTGGGGGTAATCCGAGCTCATCGTGAAATTTTCATTGGATGAAGTGTGGCGATACTGGACCGGCCCAACCCACAAGCGGACCGCCCCGCGTACAACATCACGCCAGTGGAAGCCGGGAAACACCTCCAAATAGTTCTAAAACTAGATAGGACCACATGGGCTGATAAATGCGAGTGTCGCTTACAAATGGAGACGCGATGTCCGTGGAAATAGCTCCTACATGGACCATGGGTGACTGTATCAGCATATATCATGTCTAAAACCGCTTCTGTCTAGGTATTTGAGATCCAGAAGAATACAAGCAACCAGAGAGTCCTCTGAAATCACTATCGTAACTTTTTCGCTTAGCTTGACAACAGTCTCTAGCCTACTCATCAACTCATCGTTCACGGACCTGCCTGAATGCAACTCGACATCCCAAATCGCAATCATGACCCTTCCCTACAGCAAAGTTCTTCTCGTCGGAGCCACTTCTGGCATTGGTGCTGCTCTTGCAGACAAACTCGTTGAGAACGGCATCTTCGTTATTGCTGCGGGAAGACGAAAGGAGAACCTCGACAAGTTCGTCGCCAAACACGGTACCCACAAGGCTGCAGGAGTACCTCTTGACATTCTCAAGCTTGATTCGGTAAGTCAAATTGAACTCCAACCGACGTCGATCTCGGTCTAACCTCATCCCGTAGATCCCGCAGTTCGCAGAGTCGATCATCAAGGAACACCCTGATCTGGATTGCGTCTTCCTCAACGCTGGAGTCCAACGAGGCATCGACTTCACGGCCCCTGAGTCGGTGGACCTTGACATCGTATACGATGAGCTCTTGGCAAACTACCTCTCTCACGTTCACCTCACCAAAGCCTTCCTGCCGCACCTCCAAAAGCAGAATAAGCAAACGGCTTTGCTATACACCACCTCTCAGCTCGGTCTCATCCCGATGAAGCGCTGCCCCAACTACAGCGGCTCGAAGGCTGCCATGCACGGCTTCATTCTCGCACTCAGAGCCCAGCTGAAGTCCAGCGCAAGCAAAGTCAAGATTGTCGAGGTGTACCCTCCAGCAGTCCAGACAGAGCTACACGATGCTAAGAACCAACCGGACTTGAAGAATGGGCATGAGATCGGCATGCCTGTAAATGAATTTGTGGATGAGGTTTACGAGAGATGGGTTGGCGGAGAGGAGCAGATTCCTGTTGGAACCGCGAAGCCAATGTTTGACGCTTTTGAGACGAAGCGTCAGGAGTACTTTGGCACCTTCAACGCCCAGATGGACGAGGTCTTGGTTGATTTCACGGCATGATCAGCTGAATTGACAGTGATATTAGATGGCTAGGTATATAAGAGGATAGAGAAAATGTGAGAATTCTACTTGTGCCAGAGTTACCACTAACGACAGATTCACGATTATAGTCTGACGTTTCATGCATACGTAGGATATGCAATCAGAGTTCACATGATGTATTTGAGCTCAATTGGCTTGGTCACATCCTTAGTTGCGTTGAAGTAGGCTTAATAGGCACACCAATTAGACCTTTCTCCATGTTACGCAGTTTTCCAAAAATGTCAAAGAAGCCGATTGCGAGGCCCCTTCCTCACCACCTTTACTCCGGTCAGACGGTGCTCTATTCACTCCACGTTCGCGTGGACTTGTAGAGGAATCGACCTTTTCGTGCCCTACTTTCCAGCCTCGAAGAAGAACCAGGCAGAAAGCTGCCGCAATGTACATAAAACCTGTGAATAGTTGTGATCCAAGATAGCTCCCAGTCCCAGAATATATTTGCAAGGCAATTGGCTCCCTAAACGTTGCAGGTAGCACCATGCTTAGCCACATCAGGTTCAAGCCAGACGGAACATGGCTCAATCCGAGAACTTCGGCCATCAGCGGTGCAATGGTAGCCCAGAAGTTCCCTGCAACCAGCCCCTCGCTGACAGCGAAGAAGACCAGAAGCCCGAAGCTTTTCGCATTGACCCAGACTGCGAGAGAGAGCAACCCACCAAGGAGAGTCATCGACGCAGCCATGTTCATCCGCCCGAAGCTGTCACTGAAGTATCCAATCAGAGGGCGACCGACGGCCTGCGCAAAGTTGAAAAGTGCGCTGATGAGAGCGCCGTCGGAGGCCGGCAAGCCGATCTCAGTTGCGTAGCTCGCGAGGCTGAAGATGAGGACGAAGTATCCCAACATTGTGAAACCGCCGAAACCGAGGAGTAGAAGATACTCTGCCTTCTTGAAAAGCGCAAGTTCTAAAGTAGGTTGTTTCGAATCGGTCGCCTTTTTACGGTCGCGTATCAAGATCGTGCAGGTTGTGTTGACGCAAAAGCCGATGATTCCCAAAGTTCGAAACGTCCACTGGAGACCCAGGCTTCTTATCATTGCACCCGCGGCAAGGGCATACACTCCCCCGCCGAGCCCTGCGCCTGAAAGCGAAATACCGGTGGCCAACGATTTTTTTGTGGTGAACCATTGGGGGACGACAGCCGCGGTAGGTATGAAAAGGAGACCAACCCCGATGCCAAATAACACTCCTTGAGTCAAGAAAAGATGCCATATCTCCGATGATAGACTGGCCAAAAGAAGGCTGGCTGTTTCGAGAACAACTCCGCAGAACATCGTGGGCCTGATCCCGTACCTCTGAACACATTTTGTTGCAACAGGGGAGATCAGTAGGAGACAAGTGAGGCTTAAACTCGTGACGAAGGCATACTCCAGTGGCGATGAACCTGGAAAGATATCGTGTTCCAGATAGTATGCCAGAAAGACGGCGTACGCCGAGTTGAACCCCCACGAATGGCCATTGACCACTGCTGCTGCTACTGTGCAAACCCAGCCGTAACCTCCATTTGGGGGTGAGTCTTCTGTCTGGTCGTCCTGAGAGCTATTGTCGTTGAAAATAGAGTTTGCTGGTTGGCGGTGTAGCTTTGATGCTGGAATAGTTGTCTTAGTTTGGTTGGTTATCGAGGTATTACTTTGGACAGGTGACATGATGGGGGCGGTGTTGATTCAATGCGTGGCTTGCTGGCTGGCTGAGAGTCATGCCTTGCAAATTCGAAGGGCATATCTAGAAATTTCAAGTATTTTATATGTACTTAGCACAAGGCTGGAATCTTTTAAAGATACGAACCCAGAGGCTAGGCTCGATTGCTAGGCCGCGGCGTTTAGAAAAGAGACCGTTCTGTGGCACACCGTGATTTCCGATTCAAACCCGAGCGAAAGCCGCATGGACCAATCAGAAAGGCTCCCTCAACCGCACTCCCAAAAGTTGAATTCGTTGTCAAGAAAAGTCATTCAAGAGACTGACTGGTCCTATTCCATCTATACAGGGTACCTGAAATCCTGAGCTTTTCCCCGAAAGCGTTGTCCACCTGAGGCCTCAAGCAAATCTCGTGGGTTCCAACTTGAAGTCAGCACGGTCTGCCATCTCCACCTTGGAGACCTCTCTGGGACCATCTTCTCCTTCGGATAATCCATTGTTGTCATGTCCTTCCTTGGCAACTCGCCACTCCCAAAATGGAGTAAACTCGTCCGGAATGCCTTCGAGCTGATTCTTGACATGCTGCAAATCTCTTTAGCTTACATTTTGTGATAATGCTTTAATCGTCGAGACGGGGGTTCTTCGGACTATAAAGACACTTACTCTGCCTAGTATGGGAAGGAATTTGAATGCATGACCTCTGAAAACTGTGTGTCAGATTTGAAGCATTTGAATGACGGAATAGCCAACGACTTACGATCCTCCAGTGCAGATGAAAAGCGACTTTGAGTACCCAGGTACGTAGTCAATGACATACTGTGGACGTTAGTAGAAGCTCACTAGAAGGTTTATGGGCTAACTCACATCATTGTCAATGCTGTCCGTATACCAGCATAGCTGTTTTGTTTCCATTGGCAAAGGAACACGTATTCTAGAGGAATCAGGCCACTTACTCTGCTATCCGTGAAGCCGAACTCGACCAACTCGGGGAAAGCCTCGGCGATAACTTCTTTCATGCGGCACAAGCCGTAAAGAGGTACCGTGTCGATCGGCTTTTCGGTGTATTTGGTACGGGGCGTTGAAATACGACTGCACGTGATAAGTTTGGATCAGAATGACGATCCTGGGGAATGCTTACAGATTTGGTTCCGTGGGATGATCTTGAAAGTTGGTGAACTTAGCAAGCGCCGTGGTCAGCAGACATTATTGTACAGTTGCACCAAAACATTACCAACCTTGCGACCGCGGAAACCGAACTTGAGTCGGCCTTCTTTGCTGATGGGGAAACCACCGCCCTGGTAATATCTGCAGAAGCCATGAATGAGTCTGATGAAAGTTACGTATTCAATGCAGAACTCACTCATCACCGTCTCCTTTGCGATAAGACCACACTGGATAGTTATCCGGGTGAAACTTCTCCCTCAGATCCGTTCTCTCTTTGGGGATGTCGATGAACATAACGGTTCCGGCGGTGGCTTCAACCGTACGATGAGCCTCGGGGATGATAGACGCAGTCCAACTGCCAGCTGTAGATATGATGAGCGCATGCATCCAAAATGTCGTTTGCCAAAGTCATACCAGCAACAATCACAAGATCTCCGTGATGGCTGAGACCATCGCAGGTTTGAAGACCGGTCACCTTCTTGTAGCCATTCTTTTCCTTGGTGATCAACTTCTCAAGCTTGCCCTGAGGATCACCCAGGACGAACTTGATACCTTCCTTCTCGCACAAGAAGCGAGCATAGACGCAGGCCTGGCACGAGTCAGATGTCAAAGAACGTTTGGATGGGCATGGGATTAGTCACCTTGTCTGCGATGGTGATACCAGCATTGATGTCTATGAAGCCGTTGGTATTGCTGCCATTGATCTTGTCAATTATGTGGTACTTCTCAACCCATGTGGGGTCAATGTTTCTGAGACGCTCCTCGTCTTCGGCATCGCCCTGCACGGTAAACATCAGCCATAGCACAGACGACTGCATCGACGTAGTTTGCGCCTGCACATACTTTCACAAATAACATTTTTCGATGGTCAGGGGTGGTTTTGCTCATCAGCTCCAGACTTTCGGCATAGTAATCTCGCATGTCTGATCCCTCTGCAAGGAAGTAAGCCCCACAGAGGTGAAGAAGCTTGTCCTCTGGACTCAGGCCGGGCGGAAGGTCCGAGGAGGCAGTCTCAGCAACTGCTTTATTCCACGAGAGCCACATGTATTTGGCCTCGAGTGCCAGGTTCTGGTAGCTAAACGTGGGCTTCAGCATCAACAGTCAGGGACGGCATGGCTGGTTCATACCGGAGTTTGTCTCCATAGGCCATGCGAAAAACCTTGTTGATGTCGGCGGAGGCTCCGTCGCAGCCATTTGAAGGGTCGTAGAAGTTCTTGTCGAAAGCGCATCGGTCAAAGATTGTGATGTCCTTGTAGCCGCCACGAGCAAGCCACAGAGCTGTGCTCAGGCCGAACACGCCAGCGCCAATGATGATGATCTTCTGATCGGGGGATTGCATTGTAAGGTATTTAGTTGCCGTGAAGCCTACTTGTGAAGCCAAAGAAGAGTCTGAGAAAGAAAAGTCATCATACTCTGAATCAGGGATTAAATATCATAGAGACCTCCAGCCATATCGACGGTAGGAACAGCAACAGAGAAAGATCCGACTTCTCTGCCGTTATCTTGACTCACCAGTATTGTTCCGTGTTACATGATCTTCGGGGAGATTCATGTTAGTTCTGACATCAGACTAGCATCAAATGCCGACCTTTGCCTCCTTTACCCGACGCTTGGAGTTTTCAGCAGAGTGATGCATACTTGCGGTTGGCAGTTGCACGTATTCCTCCGAGCAACAAGACCAAGAAGGTGGGACTATTGCAGGCCCCTGTTGCGCATCATGCGATCGTGATTGGCTCTCCGTATTCTTCCGATCAAAGTGGGTGCTGATAAGCCCAAATCTAGCTACACACTTGGAGCTCCCCTGAACATCATTGGCTGTTCGTATTTCCCCGGATTCAGTATCACTTGACACACGGATTGGATGCCATCCCCCCTGCCAAGGTCGGATATTTGAGGATAATGGCAGATCATAGACTTGAAAAGTGTAAGCCATAGCTGCCTCAATGAGTTTTTAATACAAATTACAAATGGAGGCGGCTATGCGCCCAAAGCATCGGGTCTGCAGCTCAATCTTCAGGAACATCAAATCATACAAACGCCTATCGAATCAAAGCCTAGGTTTCATCGGAATAATGGGCCTGAATAGTCATCTTCAGCGATTGACGCAAGTAAGGGCCTTTTTGCAGGCTCTGCATAGCGCTCCGAGGGCGGTCATCTCAAACCGCAACTTGCTGTTTTCGTCCGCGGTCTATGCCATGAGCGGTCTTCCACCAAGTAAGTCTTCTTCGAGTCTTGCATGAACCAGTGCATCACAACTAACGAGCTGTTCGTAAATGAAGCCTGGGACCAGGGGTCCTCCTCTGTGTTGCCTTCTCTGCCAGGCTTCCAGCAGCATTTTCACATCAGCTCTGGCTCCAACGCCGATGAGATCCAAAACTTTGTCTCTATCGTGTACATTGGCTATGCCTTTGGCGCAGCAGCCTCATACTTCACGAATGACCGCATTGGCCGCCTCTGGTCTTTTCGCCTCTATACTTCCATATGGATCATTGGACAGCTGGTTGCTATCCTTGCCCCAGGATTGCCGGCTTTGTACGCAGCTCGTATCATTTGTGGAAGTGGCATCGGCGCGCTGTCTGTGACTGGGCCCATGTCCATCGTGGAAATTGCCCCAAGTGAGATTCGCGGATTACTCACCTCGTGGTATGCCGTAACCATGGGCATTTCCCTGACTGTGGCAACCTTTTCCGTCTATGGTGTTTACCTTCATCTGCCCGCCATTCGGTTGCAGTACCAGGTTGTTTGGTTTGCGCCGGCCATCTTTATGGCACTCACCATTTTTGCCAGCTTCTTTGCTAGCGAATCGCCTCGGTGGCTTTTGGTAGCTAACCGTCCAGAGGAGGCCCTGTCAACCTTATCACAGGTCCGTGGGTTACCAGCTGATCACCCACGAGTGGAGGCAGAGTTTCAAGAAATGAGAAATTCGATTTCGTCGGCTATGAATGGAACCGAGGATGGGACTCTCGAGCGACGTCCAACGCTGAAAGAGGTTGCGAAAGAGACTTTTACCATTTCTGCCAACTTGCGACGGCTCCAACAGACGCTTGTATCGTATGCGATGGCTCAGATGTCGGGTGCAAACTCGGTTACTTCATACTTCATCCCCATCATGAAGATCATTGGCGTCGAGGGCGGAGTTGGAAACACTCTCTTCTTGAGCGGAATGTATGGTTTCTCGAAACTGATGTTCAGCCTGATATCTTCCTTCTTCTTTATCGATCTGCTAGGTCGAAGGAAGTCATTGTTCATTGGTATCACATGTCAAATGCTATCACACATCTACATCGGCGCGTTCGTCAAGGTCCATCAGGAGGGCCAAGTCAGCCAGTCCGCATCGGAGGCAGCAATTGCAGCCATCTTTGTCCACGCATTCGGATATGCTGTTGGTAAGTCATGGCCACAATTTGTTTAATTATGCGATAACATCTAACCGTCTATTGCGGCCAGGCCTCTTCATCCTTCCATATGTCTTCGGTGGCGAGCTCTGGCCAACCCAAATTCGTTCCTTCGGCGGCGCTGTTGGGCAGACGTTTCATTGGTTGTTTCTGTACGCCATCAAGTTCAGCTTGCCTTCGCTTCTATCAAGCACTCACAACTGGGGCGCCTTCATTTTCTTTGCTGGGTGGTGTTTAATTGCCCTTATCTACGTGTACTTGATGATTCCTGAAGTTTCGGGCCTCAGTGTGGAGGAGATTGATGCCATCTTCAGAGGCCCGTGGTTCAATGCCTACAAGCATGGGAAAACGCCCGTTATTGTCGGATCTGAGTCACCTGCCAATGAATCAAGTTGTGAACCAAGGTAAGACTTTTCCTTGCACTTGGACGGTTGATCTTGGCGATAACTGACTAAGGTACCTACTGGATTAGGGGCAACAACTCGGAGTTTGCAGACGGGAAGAAATGAGCCTTGTTCACGGCAAGGGTCATCATGGAGGTTTAGATGGGCTTCCGTCTTCATTGACATCTGGAAAGCACTTTTTGGCGACTTGGACATGTTGGTTGTGTGGTTGAGATAAGGATAACATCAAACCAACCTATAAGGCAATATCTAGCTCCTGTCTTAACTACATGTGATGCTTATTCATGTATGCGGAGTCGGAACTTCAGCTGTGATGTGAAATAATATCAGACGCTAGTTTGCCTTCGCTGGAGGCATGCGAAGAGCTCGACACTATGTTACCTAGCTTGTCGTTGTCGCACGTGTAGAATCTGCCAATGGGGGACCATCAATTTTCCCCACAGTTGCCTGACTTAGTATATAAGTAAAGCAAGGCCACTCCAAATCCTCCATACACGACTACGCCGAGGACCCCGCGACCCCACAGCCAGAAATGCAAGCCGTGCTGAGGTGCGCACCAACAACGTCTATTCATAGGAAATGAACAGAAAGGCGAGACGCGTCCGCGTTGGCAAGCGGACGGCTCTCGCGTGCACGTTTTGTAAAGAGAGGAGATTGCGGGTTCGTCTTATTGATCACAGACATGGAGGCTATCGACTTGTTGATACAGCATGCTGACGGCTGTGAAGTGCGACGGCCAGAGCCCTAAATGCGGTCACTGCGTTGGATCGGAACAAGGTATTGAGGAATCCTTTTAATGACAATCTTCGGCATGGAAGCTAAAAGCAATCACAGACTGTGTCGTTATTGACCTAGAGACTGGCCAGCAGCGACCAAGAGACTATCTCAAGTCTTTAGAGGAGCGCGTGGCCTATCTCGAAGGACTACTCAATGCATCGGGCTCTGGTGCAGCCCATAACGAAAACAATCCATCTCAACAGCCTCAAGCCCAGATTAGAAGCTTCGATACAGTGTGTGCGCCGGCAATAACGGAAGTCTCAGTATTTGGTGAACCCACTAGGCCGTTCGACAGCCTTTCATCATCTTCAAGGCCTCTCACGAAGAAGACAGATACTGGACTTACTGCCGATGCCGGCATATCGGAATCTACTTCAATGTCTTTAAGAGATCCTTGTGGAAGATCACGGTATTTTGGGCCTTCTTCTACAGTTTGCTTCTCGCGTAGTGTGAGCACTGCGATGGGCATCGTTACCCGTAGTAAAGAATCAGGGCCCCTTCGTTTCGCAGGGAACAATGGGTCTTCAATGAGATTTCCCTCTCCGAGCTTTCCTGGCAACCTGTCTCAGACCTATTTCGAAAATATTCATCCACAATATCCGATCTTGCACAAGCCAACATTCCAGAAATGGGAGGACCATTACATGAGAGCGAATATGGAGGGTGACCAGACTCTTGTTGATGAGTCGTCTCTATTCTTCGTTCTGATGGTGAGAGCATTTCTTACCCATTCTTTTAAGCAGATTGCTAAGTCAGTCCCCCTCCTCCCGGCAGGTACATGCCATTGGAGCACTGGTTCAAAACCACTACGATATTGCTATGGTGAGTCAATCGCCCTAATTGAAACTGTTCTCGCCTAATGGTGTGCTGGCCACAGGCTTATCATAGCAGTGCCATGGAATACATGGATTCATTGCTCAGTTTGGACAATTTAACCTCGATTCAATGCGTCCTTTGCTGTGCAGTGTTTTCGATTCGGTCTCCCGTAGGCGTCAGTGTTTGGTACTCACTGTCACTCCATTTCCGTCGACTTATGATCAAAACTAACGAGTCTTCGCAACAGGAAAACTGTAGGCATGGCTCTTCGTCATTGTATCGAAATGGGATTGCATCAGCGCACGGCGGTATATTACAGAAACGCCAATACTTTGGGACAAGAGCTGTCGAAGCGGTGTTTTTGGGTGGCGTACAACCTTGATCACGCCCTCGCACTGGCGTTGGGGCTCCCTCTGGGCATATCGGATGACGCGATCTATGTCGACGTAAGTTCCGCTTGGGTATTGCTATGGACATCAGAAGGTTGACCAAAGGACTAAGCTTCCCATGGACGTTGACGATGAAGCAATCACACCAACCGGCTTTCTGCGTCCTCCGCGGACTGACAGCACGTCTTCTCCAACACTTTCGACTGGTTTCATACATTCAATCAAACTACGTCGTCTTTGGAGTAAGATCAGCAATTGTCTCTACCCGCAGGTCCAGCCTCTCGTCAGAACAATGAGCACCGTGGATAGGAAAGACCTGATCCAGGAGATTCAACTGGAGCTAGAGGAGTGGTACGCTGAAGTAAAACCCCATGAATTGGACCCTATCCCGAATCCACAATCTCTTTATGCCTCTGGGAAGTGGTTTCAGCTTGAATATCTCCGCGCTCTACTTCTTTTACGCCGCCACTGTCTCACGCCAGATTGCTCGTCAGCTCTAGGACTTGAAACGCAGCTTGAGATTGAAGATTCTATGGAAACTTGCGCCAATGTTTCCTCGAAGCTCTGTTTCCTGTTCAGAGACGTACACGAAGGGACAGCTGTCCAAATCACTTGGAGCATGGTGCATGTGCTGTTTTCAGCAGGTCTTACCTATCTCGGGTGTCTGTGGAAATCGAAGCGAGTTCGCGAAGAGGCTCAAGAAATGGACATTTCGGCAACGTTTGAAGCGTGCCTCAAAGTCCTCGCAATCGCAGAGGACTGGCATCCTGAGTCTCCATACCGCCAGATCTTTGAGAAACTGGCACAACGTACGATGAAGATGGTTTCTGGAGGCGATGTCGATCCTTCATTCCGGCATCCTCCAAATATTGGAGCCATTAATGAAGCTTTCCAGGATGAGAATTGGTTTACTTTTGGAGAAGATATGGATTCGATTGCACTTCAGGACTGGGACAATTGGCTTGCTGACGCAACACATTGAGTTGGGGGACTTCTTTCTACTTTTGTTTACATTTGCAGACTTGATATCTTAAATATCGTGAGAAATCTGACATATGATTAGCGCTTTGCTATTTCTCAATAAGACAGAGGAGTAGACAGCTTTCCTATTGAAAATACGGTGCCGGCGTTCATCGGCCGGAGTTGTGGGTCCGTGAGCGACCAGCTCCGACGGAGCTTGTGTGGGTCCTTCGGCTAGGTGGTGGTTGGCCAGTGCTTAACTCCGTCAATCGCCACTTTCTTTCCTTTCATTGACATCACGATAACCATCGCGTCGCCCCCTTGCGATTCCATCTCTCAACCGACCATGCGCATACTGCTGACGCCTGTTGGTGCGTGGAACTGGAAATATGGCGACTAGATTTACGAGAACGTCGTTCGTCTGCGGACGCTGCCTTCGAAGTACGAACCGAATCGAGCCTAGAATCCGAGTTGCCCCGCGATTTTACTCCTCCGAACGAGCTGCCGAAGCTGCCGAGACGCAACAGCAGCAAGATGGGCCCCCTAAAGAGAAGGGTGCTATGTCACGCAGACTGGAAGAAGCTACCGAGGAAGCTCTATTGACGGGAGGCCGTGCTGGACGACGAGCAGTCGAGGATGCGGGGTTTGATCAAGAGCTCAAGGAGAAGCTTCTCGACAAGGTTCAAACAGCCAAGTTCAGATCCGACTTTGCGTCTGCCTTTGCCGAGGCTGAGATGCCCACTTCCGCCGCTGAAGGAACCCGAATCATGGCGACAACGCAGCCTTGGACTGGCGAGGAATCGCAATCCGACACTGCACTTCGCATGCTGAATGATGCGAGGAAGCCTCTCAAGCCCGAGCTGCGCGGGAAATACCAGATCCCGCCAGTCGATATGCGGATACGACGAGAACCGAAAGTCAACGCTGGCCAGCGCGCGGCCAACGCACGCGAACGAGCGTCGACGTATACCGGTATGGGGATGAAGGAGAAGAATGGGCTCAGCGATGCTGAGCGGGAGGAGATGAGGAAGACATTCCGTGAGCGATTCGAGCCAGGCGCTAGAGCGATGCCGAACACCATATCTGGACTTGCTGCACTGGCGAACGAGAGGATAGAAAACGCTATTGCCCTCGGGCAATTCAAGAACATCCCTCGCGGCAAGGGCGTCGAGAGAGATACTAGGGCGGATAATCCGTTCATTGATACGACGGAGTATATCATGAACAAGATGATTAAGCGGCAGGAGATTGTTCCACCTTGGATTGAGAAGCAGCAAGAGCTGGCAAAGGTTGCGGGCGCTTTCAGGGCGAGGTTGAGGAACGATTGGCGGCGGCACGTCGCGAGGATGATCTCCTCTCGAGGCGGCAGCCTCGAGGAGCAGATGCAAAAAGCGGATGATTATGCTCGCGCTGAGGAGCTGCACAACCCGCGCAAGAGGAACAGCGACAGTATCTCAGTGCCTACAAACTCGACGGATGACATCGTCATGGTTAAGATGCGGCAACAGGCGGCGGAGGATGCGGCAGCCAAAGATGCAGCTGTCACGGCTCCGAGGGAGTCCCCAGCACCTCCGGTAGCGCCGTTTCGTGATTCGGATTGGCTTGAGGGCGAACGCTCGTACATGACCCTCGCTATCGAGAACATGAACGCCATCACGCGGTCCTACAACCTCATGGCACCAGAGCTGGCGAAGAAACCGTACTTCTCACTAGAGCGTGAGCTCAGTGCGTGTTACGCCGACGTCGCGCCACAGGTAGCTGGGACCATCAGAGAGAGGGCGACAAGGCCTGTCAAGCCAATGTTTGATTCGGCCGGCGCTGGACCAGCGGCTATTTTCGATCGTTGTAGTAAGGAGGGCAAGACGGCCAAGATCTACGATTCGAAAGCTCCTCATTACGGTTTCAAGGAGATGTGGAGAGACATATGGAATTGAGTACTTTCCTCTCGTTTAGACAACAATTGAGCCAAGTCACGTTCACAAACACTACGGAATCCAAGACAACGTCACAGCCGACGAATGTTCGCTGCGATTGCTCAACTGGGCAGTGTAGACTGCGCTAGCGTGCCGCCATGCGCCACATTGTGCGTTGCTTATCGCTCTCGTAGCTTTGCTCACCTTGCGACCGCATAAGGCATCCAAACGACCGTCTCAGGCAGGAAACCGCCTAAACGGCTTCAGACCCTCGGGGAAAACGGGTAGACTAATGCTAACCTCATGCCAAGGCCCCATCTTTCCTCGCGAATCGACACTTCTCAGCACCAAAGTCCCTTTTGCTTTCGCTGTCGCCTTTCCGCAGCGCAGATCTGACCCCAATTTTGACCGCAGCACTCGACTGCGTCAGCCGTCAGCTAGGGCTGAAATGGATCTGGTCTCTCCGCGTAAGGCACCACATTGCCCGCGTCAGGCATCGAATTGATGTCGAGCAGGAGTATCGTGAGGCAGTGATGGGGGCTGTTGGCTGTTGCCTTGCTTTACATGATGTACCAAAATGCATCTTGATCGGCGAGCAGCGTGTTATTGTACATCAGAGCCTTGTCGCTCACTCACTTAGCTCCTGCGCTCGACTACAAAGATATAAGAGTCTTGGCTTTCCTTATGTCGGAATGCCTTCAATCCCACATCATCTCCAAAAGTTCTATTTCAGTCTTGGACAACATATAATCATCAGATATTCCAGCCTCATTCATACTAAGCTTCGACCTCTCCTCCAGAAAACCCCCCTTCAATTCACGCGCTACTCCCAAGCTGAATCGACGACATGGCCGTCTCAGACAAATATTCCCTCGCCGTCCTCATCATCTTCATCACCCTTTCTATCCCCACACTATTCGTCACATTCAAACACGGCGTACGAGGATGGGCAATTCTAGGATGGGTTTATCTCTTCATCTTTTGCAGTTTGAAGATCATCGGCTCCGGCATGGCCTTGGGCGACCCTGAGAGCAGCGGCGCCACAATCGTCTCCAGTGTCGGCTTGTCACCTCTGCTGCTCGCACTTTCTGGTGTTCTACATGAAGCGTCAGTGTTCCATCTCAGCACATCAGGCCTTGGCGCAAAACTAATGCTGCATTTTACAGTCGATTCTACTTCACCAGCCCCTCTAAGCGCAGCGCAAACCACAAGCGAGACCTCATTTTCGTCCTCATGTTCCACATGTTCACCATGCTCGGTGTCGTACTCATCGCGATCGGCATGTCCCGCCTCATGAAGCACGCCTCTCCCGACGACGTCTCCAAAGGCTGGACCCTCGCCAAGGTCGGCGCCGTTATTCTCTTCCTCAGCTGGGTAGCTCTCGCTGCAGGCGCCGCCTTCACCGTTTTTCAAGGCTACATACGCAGTGACGGCCGCCCTCAGAAGAAGGCCGCCGTCATGCTCCTCACAGCGGTCCTTTTCGCGCTGCCGTTTGTGGGCGTGAGAGTCATCGCGACGCTGGCCTACGTCGCGTCGGAGAACAGTTCACTCAGCGCCGCGACCGGTTCTGTAATGGTGAAGGTGTGGTTGTACCTCTTTGAAGAGCTCGCTGCCACGCTTATCCTCGTGATCAACGGTGTTTTGGTCAGGAACGTTAAGAAGCTCGATCAGGAGGCTGTTGTCAACGGGGGATGGGAGACCCGACCGGCAGATGCGGAGCAACAGGCCTACGAGCGGAAGTAAGACTGAGGTGCATTTATTATGATGATGTAGCTAGTAGGGACTTTGGTTACTGCCAGCTTTTGATATCCATGTCACTTATCGGACTTTGCCTCTTTCAGCTACGGCCACAAGATAGACGCAGGCCCAGATTTAGCTGCTCAAAATCTATTCTCATTGGTCGCGAAGCAATAAATAAACGCTGTCTTATTCTCAAGTAAGCGCCGCTGACGAAATCTCATAAGCACATTACCACGATCAGCGACGCTTGCAGGCCAACTTCACTTCACAACAGACTGCTTTTGTTCAAACGCTCTCGATGATGGTCGAATGATTTCTACTGCAGTGGTAACTGAAGAGAAACATGGGCCAGTCTCGTAGGTCACATACCAAGTCACGAAACGGATGCAAGGAATGTAAGACCAAGAAGATCAAGGTGAGCAGGTTGTGGGTATCACTTCAGAACCCAAGTTCACCTCAATGATTCTGACAAACGCATCTATAAGTGCGATGAACAGATTCCATGTGGTCGCTGCAGCAAGTTCTCGTTGGCCTGCAGCCTGTCAACAGAGTCTATCACTTCAATCAATCCTCCACTTCACTCCCTAGCCTCAAAACGTATCGACAGCAGCAGCCCTTCAACCTCCATCGACACCTTTGAAGCTTCTGACTTTGCTCTTTTCAACCACTTCCTGACGACAACGCTACCATGCCTTGCTCTCAAAAACGAGGCGTTGCTCATGTCATGGAAATCGGACCTTCCCAATCTGGCACCGAAGTTTCCTTACCTCCTGCACGAAGTCCTCGCCGTATCGGCCATTCATCTCTATCACCTCAACCCCGGCAGCTCGATCAACTACCAGCGCGTGGCGTGGGGCCACCAAGCCAAAGCCTTTAGCCAGTTCCGCGATGCGTTGTCCCCGGAAGTTGCAGCACACCAAGTGCACGCCCTCTTCGCTTGCTCGGCGCTCATGTCCAACTACTACTTCGCTTCATTCGAAGACCCCTCTTCACTCCTATTCAACAGTGACCCTCCCGGGCCTCCTGAATGGATCTTTCCCGTTCGTGGCTGCGCAACGCTCGTCCGTCAGCTGAGAGGTCCTTTAGAAGCTAGTACATCGTGGACAGCTCTCCAGTCGTCTTTGGATACATGGTCCGTCAGCCCTCCATCTCCAGAGGGACCTGAGTGGGAGCCAGAAATTCAGTCAATGGAGGCAAAACTGCGAGCCATGTCGCATGGAACAGCCCCCAGACCTCTGTACGAGGAGGACTTCCAGCTGTTGAGAAAATGCTTCAAAATAGCTGGGAAAGCCGGCGATGCCTCGTGTAAGGTCTCAGCAATGATGTTTGGAGGCGCGGCATCCGAGGAGTTCTTGAAAGATATGACTGAACGCAAGCGCCCTGAGACTCTGGTCATGATGGCTTTCTGGTGTGTCCTGATAAGCCGCGTGAATCAGCGGCACTGGCTGAGAAGCGAATCGGTACCGGAGGCTATTCTAGGTGTGATAGAGGCGCATCTGCCCCGGGAGTATCTGGAGCTGATACGCTGGCCTGCGCAACAGATCAGATCTGCACGCGATGTACCTATGCACTAGATTCACCAGGATCAATCACAGCAATACTGAACTTCTAGCACCTGAAATTGCTGTGACAACATTCTCTTACCACTGTCTGATACTGAGGTTCAAACTCGATATTGTGCTTGTTGTGTGCAACACACCCCAAGAGCAATAATTCTTTCATTCAGTCTCATCAGTCTGTCTTGGGAAGATCCTCTCGTCGATGGAAACGAACCATCAAAGCAGGCTTCTTCCACATAAGGAACAAGCGTGCTTGACCCATCAGATCCACCTCTTTGCTAACCAGCTCCCAGTCATACAAGAAGACCATCTTGGCCACAATAATCTTCATCTCCAGATAAGCCAAATTGGACCCCAAACATGCTCTCGGTCCCTTCGAAAACGGTTGACTAGCCTCCTTGTTGTCTCCATAGGATTCATCGAGCCAGCGCTCCGGTATGAACGAGTATGGATCCTTCCAATATTGCGGGCTGTGCGATGTAGCCCACTGATCGACACTCACCGTAACTCCCTCCGGGATCATGTGTCCGTCGATGACGGCTCCAGGACACGTGCGTGGCAATCCGAAGGAAGCAGGCGAGAAGATCCGCAGGCTCTCTTCGATGACGGCGTTGAGATACGGCAGCCTAGACGCAGACTCGCCAGTGATTTCCCCAACAGATCCAAACGCAGCTCGCACCTCTTCGTTCAATTTGTCAAGACGAGCTCTGTCCTTGAGCAGGTAGTAAGCCAGAGCAAGCAAGCATGTTGCCGTTGTCTCGGAGCCACCCACGATCAGCGTGCTGGATTGGTTCACGAGCTCTGCCCTGGATACTTCGTTGCCGCCTTTGCGGAGGATGTAGGAAAAGAAGTCGTCGCGATGGGCCGAGTCACCCATCTCAAGCCGCTTATCGAGCTTCTCCCCGGTTAATCTGTTGTGCATTGCGTACTTGGCTGCGGAGTCCTTTGGGAGCATGAATGGGAGGATTAGGTTCATGAGAGGAAGCCGCCTGCGGAGACTGCTGAGCATGTTGAAGTAACCGCCATCAATGATGATGGAGACCCAAACGTTGGTCTTTCCTTGGCCTACTGCGTCGAAGGACTCGCCGAATGTTAGGTCGCCTAGAATGATACACCAAGTCAGTAGGGGGATTTCAGCCGCAAGACCGACCTATCTGAGGTTAACGGCAGTGAGAAAAAGGGATCATACCAATGATATCAAAGGTCAACCAAGTGAACGCTTCTTCCATGTTAATACCCGGCCCCCCTTCACAGCCAATCCGCCCCAGTTGCGTCAGGAAGAGATCGACATATCGATGGATGACGACTTCTTGGTCATGCAAGGCCTTTGCGCTGAAAGCGTGTGCTAGGTATCGTCTCTGTCTCGTGTGCTCCTGAGGATCCAGGACTGTGACTATGTCAGGTTGATCGCCTGTGGTCTGATACCACGATGTTTTGTAGAATGGCCGTTTCCCCTTCATGGTGTGACCGTAAATGTCACGGTAGGCTGGAACCGTGGCGAATGACAACTCGTTTGGTGCTATTCGAACCACTTCGCCTATGATTCATAATAAGACTGCTTCAGCACGAGCTACGGTCCATGATCTGTAGCAGTGACTGACCATATTTGAGGTGAGTTTTCTCCATAATGAATGGATGTCGGCCAGACGTCCATGCCAAAGCATACCATAGCTAATCATGTTAGCGATGATCTGGTTCTTGATGTAGACCTGGTCCTACATCTGAAATCGCGGCCAATTTTGGCCCCGGGAACTTTGCCAGTGGGTGAAAAATGAGTCGGTAGATGCATATCACGAGGAAGTATAAGGCCTTCAAAAATGTTACTCGTCAGCCGGTGGGATCGGGCATGCAAAAGTTGCGCTGAAAACCACTTACCGCTGCAATAGCCGAGACAGCGATTAATGCTGTCGAGAACTTCATGCTCAGCATAATAAGTATTGATATGTAATTCACGGATCACAGGTTTTTCAAGATTCAAGCGTTGTCTAAAAGCCGCACGTTGGCTCTTTGTCCTGGGAATCAGTTCCAATGCTGTGAAATTAAAGCGTGCGGCAACAAAGGGATGCGGAGGCGGGTTCCTGATGCTTTAAATCTGGAAATAACCACCGAGCTGCTCCCCGCGGCATTGCCGTATTCACCACTAGAAGGCATTGAGTTTAGACGCAGGTGAAGCTTAGCGGAAACCCTATGGTTACGAGTCGCGACGCGTCAAAACCTTCTTCAGCGCTGCCAGTGGGAAGGTTACCGAGACCGAGCAACATCACGGAAAAGGCAATACCTCGATGGCTCGGGGCCAAGATGGAAGCCTACGTCAAGAAAGAGGCGACGTTTACTGAATTCGATCCACGGAATCCATAGGGATACGTAAGTTCGCACCAATGATGTCAGTTGAGGCTCTTGGCCAGCGCGAAGAAGGCTGTCTTTGGATTGGAGTATGCTTCGATGCTTGGCGAAATGTTAAGATTCTTCGCAGGAATAGCCTGAAAAGGCGCACTTACGGGATTACAATAGCTTTGCTTCCTGACATATGCTCAAGTGAAGGCGAGCCGTAGCTCTGACTGTCGCAGGGCGCTGCACTCATCATGTACGAGGTGAAGATATCTGTGATTTGACATCGCGTTGCACCCATACTGATGGACAGGAACAGTAGTGACGGCCCCTTGTGTGGCTAGCCCACAATTTTGAAATATAACTTCTCAGAACGTCGCCAATTGCAACTACAACGTCGCGAGAATGCATGGCTTGCGGTATTAAATCTTGCTAGATAATTCTCATGGATCGTTAACAAAGATTGGATGACAATTTGACGGCTAGCTATTTGTTAGTACACAATCCCAGTTATCGCAATAAGGTGGCCCAAAATATCACAGTACAGTCCAGAAGCTCTTGGACCGCTGATCTTCCAGAGCAATCCATCACATAACTGAATCATGCTCTGCAACTCCTTCACTCGAAGGCGCCTCTCCGTAAGTTTACGATTAGCTTAACGAGGTTTCTTTGAAGCGCTGTTCTACCGGGAAACATTCGAAAGCCTTCATAAGGTTAATGTTACTTGAGAATCATACGAATGATCTTGCATCGCCTGTAATGAATTTGAGGTAGCGTTCAAAGCCATCTGCTCCGTATAGTCAGTTCACCCAGAAACCTAAGTGCCAGCGCTGGTCTCTGTGATGAAGAAGAAAGATATCTAAACATCACAGCATGGAATCTGAAGACGTCGACGGCGTTCACATTCAAACAGCCAGAAGACAGACGCAAAGAAGACGTCAACGGCGCTGCCCCTCTCGCCAAGACCCAAGCCGTCCCCCTAGCTAAATGAGAATGTCTTCAACTGCCCGTGTCTAAGACACGGATGGGCGGCAATCGGAATGTAGACCCATAATTGCCGTCAGCCGAGAAAGTCCGAATCAACTTGTCTGTTTTTGATACAGGAGAGTCTCTGAAGGGATCATCTGCTCTAATGTCTGCTGAGGCGCATGATGGGATATGTCTCTGGGCCCGACGAAGACAGTTCCTTCTGTGGCTGTGTAGGAGTTGATGCTGGATCTGAGAGCTATTCTTGTAACGGTGGTCTTGAACATCATGTTCCTGTCGCACAGAAGGGAGGAAGATTTACTTGGGCTGCTCTGAATTGAAGGGAACCATGAAACGCGGATGGCATTTTGTCCCAATTCTCATCGCGAGAACCGATGTGTACTCATGCGGTTATTTCAAAACGCCGTAACAACTGACCATCGAGGGAATCGGGGTACCACAGGAGGTGATCGGGCCTCTCATAAGATATCTACTTACTTACACTCATCATTCTTGACGAAAAAAAAACATCGCGGCGAAATCTAGACTTGCCCGCGACTAAATTGGAAACTGAATCAATCAAGCGCTCAATGTTGAGTTGATAAAAAGGTATTTGACGTTGGTTGATCAAAAGATTTGGGCCCTAACCAGGGATCGAACCTGGGACCTCTCCCATGCGCGCTGACAAGCGTCAACCCTAAGGGAGAATCATACCGCTAGACCATCAGGGCTGATCCACCAGATATCTGACTGATGCTCAGGACGCCAAATTTTCTGCTTATACTCTCTCCATGCTTTTCCTATAATCTGATCATCGATTTGACAATTAAAGTTGCACCTCCAGCGCGCTCGCTGATCATCTCGTCTCCCCCAATAGCGCAAATTGACGCCGCAGCGGCGCCTGCACAGAGCGCTCTGCGCCAGTCATCCAATGCCAAGATCAGCAATTCTAGAACGCCTCCTAGGCCCCCGTCCGGCCAGCAATAGTTTCTGGATCCCGCAAATCACCCCAAATTAAACCAGCAAAAAACAAAAGAAGCATCCGCCCCATCCAAGCATCCAAGCAACGCTGCTGAGCCTCTCGATCCAGCGGGTGATCGCTCAATGCAGCGAAGAGTGATCTTCAGGAACGGGCATTTCCTACGTTAGTGCGCCTGCGTTCCTCCTGCCCTGCCGGGGCAACAAGCCCGGCCGCGTGCCATTGATAGGTAGCTAATGCTGCGCTGAACATGGCGTTCCCTGGCACATGCACCACGGGCGGATGGATGGGCGAGATGGCAAAGCACAATAAAAACAGAAACGCTATTCTTAGAGGCAAACAAATCAATCAATCAATTCAATCAATCATCCAGGCCCTATCATCCGCTATCCGGGTGCATCCCACATGCAGCTACCGGTACGCCATAGCCCAGATGCGGCCTCTCAAATTCTTGTGTGTGTTTTCTGTTTCTCACGCAGCCTCAATGTTTGTTTGCCAGATTCTTCTTTTTCGTGAGGTCGTCTGAACTTTTTGTTTCTTGCGGTAAACAGCAATAAGCTTGTCCAGCATTTGTGCGACACAACCCCCCGTGCCCCCTAAAGCCCCCCAGGCGTTCGTTCACAAGCCTAAAAAGACCAGACGGTTTTAAGGAGTCAAGGGCCTCCGTCGAGGGAGAAACATGGCAAAACCACCGTTCCCTGAGACCGGCAGTAGCTCCGCTTCCTTGCCCTGACGAGGCCTATGACGCGTTCGGGGATCGCCACTGGTCTCTGCTTCCTCTTCCTCCTTCTCCTGCACCGCCTAGTGGAGAATCCGACGTATCGCTGAATTACCTACCAGCTTGGAAAGAAGGGGGAATTGGAAGAACCAGCAAAGGGCGAGCAGAAAAGTGGTGACTGTGTGCCCACACCCGGGTGGGACCGGCCCTCCGTACCCGTCGCCTCTGCCCTGGAACCAGCTGGGAGCAGATCAAGAAGCCTCGCCCCCTTTCGCCAGCCCAGTTGCCAGTGCCAGCGAACCCCCGGCCGCGTACGGGCCGTTGAGCGGCAGCGGCACCTTGGATCGGATCATGGGGGCCGGTCGGGAGAGGTAGATGGAGCTGGCATGAAAACGGAGCACACCGCAGCGAGTACGAAGCTCAGTAAATGAGCTGCGAGGCGCTGCCGCGATGTTCGTCCAGCATGTTGGCGGTATAATAAAGTAAACGAGGAGCAATACCGAGATGGGTTTGATGGGATACCCCCACCTGTCCAATGCCTAGACAGCAACGCTGTATGCCAGGTGGACTTCACATGGTTGACCGCCTTGATTGATGGATTGGCTTAATCTCCAGAACCCAATGCAGCCGCAAGCAGCTTGTCAACAAGGCGTCCGTCACTGGGCTGTCATCCGGTTTCCCCATCGGACGATTTGACTGTGTTCATGCTGGCTTGCATGAGTGAGTGCAAGTAACTCGGTCTGATGGCTTCGGTATTCCGTCGTGGACAGTCCTCTCGCGGGGCTCGAGAGGGGTATTTCGGGGGCTAGAATATGCATGCTGACAACATGTTGATGGTTGATTTGACAGTGAGGAGGTGTCCAAGCTGGCGAGAACGAGCCCACCATCAAGGCTGTTTGTGAGACAACGTCATGGAGGGCGAACAGTGACGACGAAGGCCTTCAACTTTGGGAAGCCGGGTGTGTGGTTGCGGTTGTGCTGAACGGGTTTCGTGGTGAGAGATTTAACTTTATGCAACCTCGGGACGTGTGTGCCTCCACCGGATCTCCACCGTAAGCTTGGAAGGGGCGTTGTTTTTTGTGAGAATTTTCTTCCTGTGAAGGACTTTTTCGAGAAACCTGAATCGTCGACGAGTTCTTTTTTTTTTTTTTTTTTCTCTCGTTGGTGTGTGTCACTGCGGTACGGCAACGGAACGGGATCACCAGCGAAACCCACTGACGGTGTGGTGGATGCCCTAC